AAATCTCAGACAACCCCTGTGGAAACACTCATTAGAAGAACTCCAGAGGTCACCAACTTGTTTATATCTTGACTTGACTTTTTTATGCATGCAAATCATTATTTTTACAGAGTTTGTAATAACTCATAATTATTTTAATGGCATAGCATTGCTGTATCTGTTTTATGATCTACATAGTTAAAATCTTCTCAGAGAGCCTAAATTCTAATACATTTTATTAATTTACGCTGATCTTCATATTTATTGTTCCCTAAAATAATTATGAGAAGCAAATGAAAATTCATGTTTAAAGAAGTGTTTTTAAAAGTCCACTATCCCTTTTCTAAAGATTAAAAGGCTGAAGCAGCTGTTTAGACTCACTGTAAGTATACTTTGGTAACTCTAATGGGGATAGATCCACTTAGGATATTTAAATCAATGTTTCATGCTCTGCCTTTTGGCTTCTAAAAGGAAAGATGCCGATTTCTAGTGCATTAAGCCTGAGCCAGATTCTCACATGTAAGTGAAGTCATTAAAGAACTTTACATATGTGAGATAGAAACAATGGTTCCTTAGTTTTGCACTAGGAAGAAAATATTTTGTAAAATAATGTTTATTTGAAATAATGATAACTATCAATTGTTCACAATGTGGTAGAAATTAAAATACCATCTCAGCTTTAACTTTTAAATAATAATGATAACTATTTTTATTGAGCATCTTCTACATCCTAGGCATTGATTGTTCTAGGCGTTGCATGTTTATATCCCCAATTCTTACCACAACCCTGCAAGTAGGTGGTATTATCCAGGTTTTACCCATTAAGAAACTGAAGCTCAGAGAAGTTAAGAAACTTGGCCAACATCACATAGTAAGTAGCAGAGATGGGATTGGAATTCAGGCGTGATTCAAACCTGGATGTACTTGATTCCAAATGCCATGTTGTTTTCACTGTCTGCACTGACTTTTTAATTATTTAAAACTCTAGAAAGATGAACAAAGGTTAATTTAAACTTACATAAGAAGATGAGAGTCAAACAAAACAGGTATGCTTACTCTACTTAAAAAGAAAATAAACCTCATGTCAGACCCAGAAAGGACCAATCACTGTCCGATTTTAAACTATGTTGGGCCAATTCCAAAATATTATACGATGCAGAGGTCAAATTTACCTACTTGTGAATTATCTCAGTTTCTCAACAATGGACCTTGGCACACTGGAGTTAACAATACATAACAGAGTTGCCAAGATGTTTATACCCTCAGCACTCGGGGCAACACAGTGGAAAGTGGGGAGGCCATAGACCCAAACAAGTTATTTGGGCCAGGCATGGCCTGGTAAGTACACCATGCCTTGAAAATAAGTCCAGAAGCACTGGATTAAAGAGTGCTAATGCAGGAAATAATACACATAATTTTTAGATAAGGATAATTTATCTCTGCTCCTAATATTACTATCTCATTGTAATTATTTATAACCCTCAAGCTAGTTGATTTTTAATATATTTGATTGGAAAAGAACTCTCTGGTATTATTAAGATTCCCACAGGATCAGGGACAGGGCCCCCAAAGGAGTTTACTGTAAAATAGGCAGTAGAGATGTGGCATGGGCACAACCCTGCAGTCAAGTGTAACAGCATTCTATCAGGGTCACTTTGAATTGTGTACATAAGAAAACCAATACAGAAAACAATTTGTATTCAATATTGTCACATTTCTCTCTGGTAGAAAAATTAAATACCTTAGAGATTATGAAGTCATTAAATTGTACTGAAATTGTATTGACTTCTACCTAACATTGAGTGCAGTTTTTAAATGAAAAGAATGAGATTTATAACCTCTTGAGTGTTGTTGTAGTGATATTTGAACTCATTTGAATATATTCAATATCATTTAATATCTGAATTAAGAAAAAAGTTGCTGAAATTTTCATTCAGATGGTCTATAAATTGCATATTCATTACTTGTCTGCTCTATTTAGATTTCTTTTAAAAGTTTAAGTAAATATTTTTATAAAACCCAGAAAACGCTATATTACAAAATATTATTTATTAAATGTAATTCATGAAATAATCTATTTTTACTCTTTTTTGGGAAATACTTGTGTTTTTGATACCTCTCCATGAAGTGCTTTTGACATGAGAGGCTATTTTGATGTTTTTATACAAATGATGGTTAACAGGCATAGCGTTTTAGGATACTTTACAGTAGTCCTGGCTGTTTCTCTGAAATGTAGACTTGGAAAATCTATTAGAAAGCAGAACAGGGGCAAACTCTCAATTTTACTTATGGCTTTTTTATTATTTATTTATTTATTTTTTTTTTTGAGACAGAGTCTCGCTCTGTTGCCAGGCTAGAGTGCTATAATCTCGGCTCCCTGCAACCTCTGCCTCCCGGGTTCAAGCGATTCTCCTGCCTCAGCCTCCCGAGTACCTGGGACTACAGGCATGTGCCACAACGCCTGGCTAATTTTTGTATTTTTAGTAGAGATGGGGTTTCACCATGTTGGCCAGAATGGTCTCGATCTCTTGACCTCTTGATCCACCCACCTTGGCCTCCCAAAGTGCTGGGATTACAGGTATGAGCCACCGTGCCCAGCCGGCTTATTTTTATTCACAGTAAATCTTCAACAACTCATTCTGTCCACCAGATGGTATTTTTCTGTAAACTGAAATGCTGACTTCGCCTCTTCCAGCTGTACACTCATCCCTGCACTGAGCACAGATATGACAAGCAGTAGCCATGGGGGAGGTGGGTGACAAAGATAGGACCCTGGGAGGGGGTGCAGGTACATGCTAGTTTCAATTACCACAGTATTCTAGAGGCGGTCTGCAATGACAAGGACGGCAAATGAAATTAGTGCAAGATTTCTTAGAGAATAATGGGCAGATGGAAAAAATGTAAAAACAACATAAAACAGGGTCTGCTGATAATGTTTTAAAATATACATTTGTCTTCTTTTTGCATTGTGAAAAAATAAATTTTGTGTGATAGTTTTGATGATGAAAGGTAGAAATTCTACCTATATTTGAATGAGTTTTTTTTTAAGGTAATGAGAATGTCATGGAGCTAAACTTGACAAAGAAGAGATCATTGAAATGCTGAAAATTTTAGCAGTTTTCTTAAAAGTATTGAGGGGGCAAAAATTACCAATTATGCCATACAAAAATAAGCCTATAAATGTGTTTCACATTGCTAACTTGTGTTTCAGTTGATTCAGTTTGTAATAACTAGTTATGAACTTCTGTTTACAATAAAAATTCTGTAAATTGTTTGCTGTTATTTAATGGTTATATATTAACTGTTTTCTATTTAGTCATGCAAACGTGATGAATTTAAATATGACTTGAGAATGGGACACGGTCAGTGTTTATGTAATCTCTCTGGACTCCTAGAACTCAAAGTTAGAAAGTTGTACATTCCCAGTTTTGAATGCCCTCCCCTCTGTGCATTGCAAAAGGCTTCTCTCCAGTCGTGCTTCCCTGGTATCCTAGCGGAAAGTGCACACTGTCACCATGGCAGGAGGCCAAAGCCGGAGATGAAAGGATGAGGGCTGGCCACTGGGCAGCCTTGATGGCAGGATGGGTGGAGCCTCAAAGGTTCAGGTCTTAAATCCCTACCTGGCTTGATCCAGATAATCCACCCATTTGAAAACCACTTAGGATACAAAGGTATGTCTTAGAAGCAATATTACTTTCCAGATCTTGTCCTTACCTGAAGTCGCCTCTGTTGCTTTTTTCCTTCAGTTTTCCCACCCTCTTTCTTTTATGTGTAAATGAAGTCTTCATTTCCTTTCTATAATACTTTGCTTTTTCTGCTGCCTTCTTCCTGTCTTTCACTAGCTGACACACAAATATACACACCCAGTATTTCTAACTGCTTCCTCATACTTCAGCTTGACTATGTCCCTTTTGAAATTTACATTTTGCCTAATTGTTTCCGGTTTCCTAAGCAACTTTTTCTGGAGTTCACAGTGGTTCCTTACCTAATACGTATAAATTTATAAATAGTATGACTTTTTAACAAATTAACACCTTTCACTTTAAGATATAAGATTGTCCTTGTCTAGCTGTTTTGAACTCAAACCTGTCATGTATAAATCTCTTCAGCTTAAAAAGAAACAGGACAATTTTAATTCATGTCCACTTAAGAAAAAGTATTTTTCAACCATGTCTTTCTCTTCAACACTACAAAGTAATGTACCTGTGAGTGGTGACTATATTTTTTTGTTGCTGATTTTGTTACATTAGCTTGGTGCACAGTTGTATATATGATGATCTCAGCTTTGAATGTAGAAAAAATGTCTTTCTTCCTGGGCAAATCAATTCAATTTCTAGTATTGCATAAGAAGCACACTGTAAAAATAAATCACTCCTCCATGCTGTAGGGCACCTTTGCTGTTCACGGCCATGTGTACCTGAATTTAAATGCCCTTGAAAATATGGGAGGATTGACCTTGTATGAAACAAAAGTTTTAAAGTTATATTGTAAATTTCATTCACTTCACTCCATGCATTCATTTACACAGAAACAGCATAACCCAGTGATATACTGCAGACTATTAAAAATATAAAACATTAGATAGATAGATAGATAGACAGATAGATAGATAATGTTCTCTTTTTTAGGAGTTCAGAACAGATACAAAGCAAAACAATCGCAATGCTGAATGTTACTAATATGTATCCATTCCTTCAGTGTTTACTGAAAGATTTCTGTAAAAATAGACAAATATGGAGGCTAAAGCAGGAAAAATGACCAGGACATAGGATGTGAGGTGAGCCTGGAAGGATACTTAAGACTGTGGCTGACCGGGTGCCGTGGCTCACGCCTGTAATCCCAGCACCTTGGGAGGCCAAGGTGGGTAGATCACCTGAGGTTAGGAGTTCGAGACCAGCCTGACCAACATGGAGAAACCTCATCTCTACTAAAAATACAAATTAGCCGGGTGTGGTGGCACATGCCTGTAATCCCAGCTACTAGGGAGGCTGAGGCAGGAGAATTGCTTGAACCCGGGAGGCAGAGGTTGTGGTGAGCCGAGATGGTGCCATTGCACTCCAGTCTGGGCAACAAGAGCGAAACTCCATCTCAAGACTATGGCTCAGAGGAAAAGGCATTGAACTTGAACTGGGAATGAACTGAAAGTGAATTTCAGCATGCGATATGCATAGATCATTCTTTGCACAAGCCACATCTTTTAGTGGCTCCACATGAACTTATCAGGCTAGGTCATACGTTTACCTAGATAACACAGGCTTTGAATACCAACCTGAGGGATTTGGACTATAGGCGAAATAATATAGGGAAAACATTATTGTAGGAAAATAATCCTTTGGAGTCACCTAGGATGGATCACGAAGAAGAAAAGTCAAGAAGCAGAGGCAAGAAACTCAGTTAAGTCATTTTAGTGTTTCAGACTGCTGCAGTGATGAAAACTAAACTGAGTGCCATTAGAACAGAGGAAGGGATGATTTCTTGGAAACTCATATACTCATTAATGGATTATTTGTACACAGTGGTTTTTAAGTGGAATTTAGTTTAAAACATCACAAAAATTACCCATTTTTAAAATTACTTTTATGATACATTCAGGAATTGTAACACACTTCTTTTATAAAAACTTTCAATTTCTTCTAAAAAATTTTTGGTACAAAAGATACTCAGTGTTTCTGTATCTTATTACATCTTCATGGTTCAGAGCCAGAACATGTATTTGATAACACATTATGTTGTATATATCTAAATGATTTCATAATGATTTGAAAAGTCACAAAAGCCACACAGCAAAGCTTGTAATTCTTCTAGTTATGAAAAATAAGAGCCTCTTTTGTGAGTTGAACTTTTTAGTCGTAGAGTTATGGAGGGTCATGGTTTAGGGTAACTGATTGTCATTTATGTAATAAACCACATGGTTGATTACGATGTTGTAGATAAGCATAGTAGACTTTGCTCTGTATTAATGGCCTGCAAGGAAACAGGGAAGTCTTTAATCTTGGTAAGGTTTCATTCATCCCAAAGCACACTGCAGAGTGAACAATACTGGAAAAGCAGATGCAGAGGTAAGGCCTAAGTGAATATGTATTTTCTGAAAAATCAGGGGAGTCCTTTCTTTAAAATGTGACATAAATGTAATTTTATACTATGGCTATGTCATTTTGGTAGCTACATTTTCATGCCCCAGTAAGAAATCAAACATTCGCTTAAATTGGCAACCAGGATAACTTTCCTAAATCTTAAATTGAAAATTAAAATTTCTGCTTATTTGCTGTTAGTTTTTTTATATTATTGTGAATAAGTCAACTCATTTTCCTTTTTCCAGGCATTATGAAAAACCTCTGTTTCAGAGTCATTACCATAGTTATAGGTCTTTATTTTACTGGAATAATGACAAATGCATCAAGAAAAAGTAATATTTTATTCAATTCTGAATGCCAATGGAATGAATATGTTCTGACAAATTTTTCTTTTACCGGAAAGCATGATATACCTGTGGACATACCACAAACAGCAGACACTGTGGATGTAAGTTTCAGTTTCTTTAGAGTTATCTTACAGTTTCACATGAAAAAAGAAGAGTGGAAAATAAAACATCTGGACCTCAGTAACAATCTCATATCAAAAATAACCTTAAGCCCTTTTGCATACTTACATGCTTTGGAAGTGTTAAACCTGAGCAACAATGCCATCCACTCCCTCTCCTTGGATCTACTCAGTCCTAAGTCCTCATGGGTGAAACGCCACAGAAGCAGCTTCAGAAATAGGTTTCCATTGCTGAAGGTGCTCATTCTTCAAAGAAATAAACTCAGTGACACTCCCAAGGGTGAGTACAATTTTAACTAGGCAGAGAAACAATGCTTATGTGGAGGTGTTTCATGTTCATAAGAATTCCACATTTGTTTTCAGCTTCAAGGACACAGCCGAAAGTAAAGCAATTTGATCAGAGTATGTATAATAAAGTTTCTTAGTGGCATTGGAAGTTATAGTGTGTGGAATTTACAGCTAATGAAATTTAGTCTCCCATTAGTATATCTGACATTAATGTTATGTGCAGTTATCGAGACACTAGGAAGTATGTAAGTGCTAAACAATAATGAGTGATTCTAAGTTACCTACTTTGGTTATCATATATTTGTTAATATAGAAAAGCACTGAGCAATAACTAGTTCAAATATATTTAATATGTAATGCAATTCAAATTAAATGTCATATTCATAATATTTTTCTTCTTTGAGTACATTTTGCCTCAGTCTATCTAGTTGTCCTCCAAAAGTACAGCAGAAGTATCCTAATATTATATATTGGTATGTAAATCTTCTGGTTATCAAGTCAAAATCAGAATTCCTTATCCTAGTTTCTAACAGGGTACTCCAAATAGCCTCCTATTATCATAAATTCTCATCTGACATTCAATAGTCTCCATGTTGGAGATCCTTAACAGTAAACACCAATGTTCTCTCTAGAAAATATATCAAGTTAATAAAGCAAAACTTCCTTTGCCCTTTTTAGATTCCAGAGTGCTAGACAATTAATGTCCTTTCCTTGTTTGTTTCCAGGCTCATTCACTCTTTGCTAAGCACCTACTTTATATAAGACATTATACAAAAAAATGTATAAGGATATTGTTCTCTTTCTCCATTCCAAGTTGCGCATATTTGGTTTTTGTTATTATCCAGTTCTGACATTTCATGTTTTTATTTTTGTGCTCTTTCTCCAGCTTTGTTTTAAGCATCATTTTGGCAATAATAGCCTAGCAGGTATAGGAATTATTACTGTCACCATGTCAGCAGAATTGTTTGAGAACGGTTGGAGTCTTCTGTCCCTGACCTTCTCCATAAAAGTAGTGTGTCATATTTTCAGTGTAAATGAAATGCATTTTATTTTATGATTTTTATTGTATTGTTTTTATTACAAGAAGAATACCTGTTACTTATAGAACATTTAACAACTGAAGAAAAATTTAAAGGGAAAAATTAAAGTCACTCATGTTATATATATTCTTCTAGTTTATTATTTATGCCTATTTGTACCTTTTTCTTTTAAAATTGGATCATACCGTCCATATTTCTTATTTGTATTTTCATATCGTAGAATATTTTAATATCTTTTTATAATTAAGCCACCTCACAAATATTTCAAATAGTTGAATAGTTTTTATATATGCATATATCATAACTGGTTTAATCAAGCACTAGGTTATTTCCAGGTTTTGTTTTTTGATGGACGTCATTATAGCTACATATAGACATGTAATATAACAAAAATTTTTAACTGGTATGGTAGATGTGAATCTCAATCCACAAACTTAAGTGTACTGGAGATATAACCTTCTATTGTCTGTAGTAACATAATTTCTGATTCTGAGCCCCCATTAGGGGGAGTCGTAGGGATACTTAACATCAGTCTTTCATCAGCTTTCCTCTGCCTTTGCCCGGATTTGTACCCAGCTCAAGAGTCGTATACTCGTAACAAGTCATCAAGGTGTGAATGTTCCTTACCCCTGCTAGCCAGAGAATATTTCTTTTCAGTCTCTTCAGTTTGGAGAAAATTTCTTCTCCGTTTTTTTTTTTCTTCAAAACCCTCTGTCTGGCAAACACTTTCTTCTAAAGGTTTAGGGTTTTGGATAACGAAAGCCAGAAAGACTTGTAGACTCAGCTACTTTCTGCCTTGCCATGTGCCTTCCCTGGGACAATGAACGTGGAGCCTAGTCTCTGTGTGAATGGAGAGAAAGAGCAAGAGGAAAATATAGGAAGGTAAGAGATTAACAGGTCAAAATATGATCCCACCACAAGAGTAAATAGGGAAGTGCTGAGTTTCTCTCCTTAAGGCAAATGAATTCCCCTGAGCTAACTGGGGATTAGGACTAATACAGTTCCACTTAAAGACCAAATATCCCTATAAATGCAGATACAGATCCATCTTTTTTTGAGTTAAGCTATTGCCTCCCAAAAGATCAAGAAAAATGTTCAACTTGAAGAGGAGGGGGAAAAAAGAAGTGAAGTAAGCAAATTCTATATCTGAAATTCTATTAAAATTCTAGCAAATGAAGTCATAGAGAGATGAATGAAAAGATATAAATGTTGGAAGTTCAGTGTAAGGCATGAGTCTGATTGGATATAATTCAGAGTCCTTTCATCTATAGTATTTTGTTATTTAAATTATTTTCCCATAATCATCATATTAGTTTTCACTAGGTTGAGTCTCCTCTAACAACTTTTCCTATTTTATGATTCTGTGACTATGGCTGGGTTGCTCTGACTTTGAAATCTCATTTTGAAGGGAACTGCTGGTAAGAGAGAGATGCTGCCTAGGGCATACCCTATTTTTGGCCTATTTCTTTGTTCTTTAATTCTTCACTCTAAGTCTATTTATAGGTGACATCTGGATAAGATAAGATTTACTCATTGGATCATTGTGAGGATTAAATGAAAAAATGTATCTCAAAGACCTAACTTAACATGGTATTTGGCATAATAAACTGTCATAATTTAAATATGTGAAAAGTACTTCAGAATCTTGTCTGAAGATTTATCTTGGAAATACTAGTTTTTATTATTCTCTTGTCATAAATTGAGAATAACAGTATATTTAGAAACAAATAATTAATTTTTGTCTAAATCTCAAGTTTGTTTTTGTTTTTTGAGATGCAATTTCACTCTTGTTGCCCATGCTGGAGAGCAATGGCATGATCTCGGCTCCCTGCAACCTCCACCTCCCGGGTTCAAGCGATTCTTTTGCCTCAGCCTCACAAGTACCTGGGATTACAGGGATGTGCCACCACACGTGGCTAATTTTGTATTTTTAGGAGAGAGGGGCTCCTCCATGTTGGTCAGGCTGGTCTCAAACTCCTGATCTCAGGTGATCAGTAGGCCTCAGCGTACCAAAGTGCTGGGATTAGAGGCATGAGCCACCGTGCCCGGCGTCGTTATTTTTTAAAATGTTAAACAATTATTGCAGTAGTAGCCCACTATAATTCATGAGCAGATAATTATTTGTGTCTGACTATATAGGCACTTGCATTCATCTAAAATAATAATAATAAATTAGGGACATCTCAGAAAGCAACAGTCAAGCAACCTTCATAACTATGTACCACATATTTTAAAATGGGGACTGTTTCTAGAACCAATGAAAAGTTTCTTTCACTCAGGAAAGCCCACTTTTGTAAGGGCGAGATATCACATGAACTAATCCTGTCTTCAGAGTCAGTTGTGGTGTCATCAATAAGCTTCATGTTGGGAAAACGCCCAGAAGAAGTGCTAGCTAATGCAATTTATAAAACAGAAGCCAACCATGAATTTAATCTTAATAATGCTTCCACCTTCCTCCCATATTTTTGGAGTATAGCATCAATAATTGAAAAACTAGTTTTAAAACATGAAAACAATGGGATCAGTCTCTGGTTAATCTGTCTTACCTTCATCAAGCAGTATTTTTGGAGTGCTCACAGAGTAACTGGAAATGTAGCAGGAACAACATCTTGTTGGGATTCCAGTTAGGTTGATAGACCAAATGTAGCAGCCTCACATTAACCAAGTAAGTTCCAGAACCCAAGAGATAAATGTGTTAGAAATAAGATAAAATAGTACCTAACATTTGAAACTGGTGGAATTAAAAAAAAAACACACACACAATGTATTATTAAAAAGTAAAGTATATTGTGTTCCTTTATTCATAGAAAATTAAAGATTTCATCCTGATTGCTACTGGATTATGGAATTATCAATAAGCAATGTACTGACAACTAATTCAGGTTCTAAAGAAACAAAAAGTATGTAAGACACTAAACTAAGAAGGCAAGGCCTTTCGCTCACCTACATAATTTGACCACAGTAAGATCTGACCTAATGAATCAAATATCTTACCCAGGACCATTCTAGACTCTATTCCAATTCTTACTGCTCTTTGGACTAAAAGCCACAATCCCTGAATATTGTTGTTTTATGTTATCAGGTTATCACACTTGGGAGAGCACTTAAGAAGTTCATAGTACAGAGGGTGTATTTACTAAGTGTAATGTCCGAGTATCCTTCCTGTGGCCTTTTTTTTCCTGATAGATCGTTTCTTGGAAATAATAAAACTGCCTCTGGCCACTTAAATGCAAAGGCTAATAAAATTCCTGCCTACTGTGGCCTTTGTAATCTTTAGAAGGCAGTTCAATAAATAATTCCCTTTCCACAAAGTACCTCTATATTTTCCTCACGGCATTCTACTCTCCTCTCTTGAAACATAAAATCTACCCCTGATGTTCAAGCCCCAGCCATGAATGCACCATACAGCCTCTTTCACTCATTTGACTACCCTCTGAACATTGGCTCACCAAGCAAAAATATTAAAAGACCACATTTTCCCATTGAGAAGTGCAATCAAGTACCATGAAAGAGTTTTCTTAAATTTTCCAACTCCATCTTGAGAGACCTTAAACAAACCAGATTATCTGAAGGACCAAACCAGTTCCCTTAAAAAAAAAAAATCTTAATTATCTAAAATTGAAAGTAAAGGAAAAGTTTTCATCCAGGAGGAGTAACTGAACTTCCTGGTCTTTATTCTCAGCTCCAGAAGAAATGTACCTTCCTCTTGGAAAATCTCGGCTTGATATTATGAGGGGAGTTAAATAAGAGGATTCTCTAATAACTGCATTCAAAATCAAAATCACCCTCTCCCCACATGCTTGGGTATATTCAGTTCCCATTCTTTTTAATTATTAATTTTTTTTTTCTTTTTTTAGACGGAGTCTCACTCTTGTCACCCAGGCTGGAGTGCAATGGCATGGTTGCAGCTCACTACAACTTCCGCCTCCTGGGTTCAAGAGATTCTCCTGCC